TTGCTCAAGAGTTCTTATGGACAGAATTTTGCTATATTTTCTTGAGCTTTTTCGGAAGCTTTAACTAGTAACAACAAAGGCCTTTTGGATTCAACATGATTTTAAATGCTTTGAGCATCCCATGGTTCACTTCCCTTTGTTGCTACTACCATGATTTTAAATGCTTGAAGCATTCCATGGTCTTCTTTTGAATGTGTAATTTCAGTCACCAAGAATTATTTTCTTAATGACTCTTCAACACACACAATTTTGCTCTCTTGGAGAGACTAGATTAGCCATTGTCCTTTGAATTCTACAATTTCACAAAGAAATTTAAGATTCGGATCAATGCTCTATTCCTTTTTAAACTAGATGAAACAAAGTCATATATGTTCATCTTTACTTGATCTTGAGTTCATAAATTCACAAAGAATTATGATAATCAAGATTCATTATTTTGAAAACGATCCAAGGACTTTAAAAAGGTTTGAAAACAGTCCAAGGTTTTATTGTCAATGTAAAAACGGATTCATCATGCTCTTCAATTGCTTAAATTCACAAGAGTGAAACAAATAGACCATGGTTCTCTTATTACACTTGACATCAAATTGAAAATCCATAAATCAAAGAGATATGAAGTCACAAGGTATTGAATGCTTTTAATTCATAAGAATTAAGCTAACCAAGGCTCTTACATTCTTTAAGACATGGTTTTAAAATTAAACAAAGAAACTGATTTTGAAAGACACACTTTCATGCTTTAATCCACAAGAATCAAGCATGTTTAAGTGGTCAAAATATCATGAATCTATAAGTATAATGGCACGAAATGTTCATCATTCCAAAAGAATGAAAACTGTCCAAGATGACTTATAGTTCATTATACCAAAACAGTTTTAAACTAAAACCAACTCCATTCTCTCTCCCTCCCTCAAGCTTTGGCTTTTACAGATTTCACAATCTTTCATCCATGCTTATCACGAGGAGAAATGGGTAGAGAGTTGAAAAGTTGGATCGTTCTTAACGTTTTCACGAGTTTAAGAGGAACCAAAAAAGGAACCAACCTCTGATACCATGTTAGAATATGTGAGCGTTTGTCTCACATTAAGAGAGGACACAATCAACTTGTGATTGAATCCCCTTAACCAACACAAATAGACTCGTTCTTAACAAGAGAATAGACAACCAACTTGTGGTTGAATCAACATAATGATCCCAAATAGAACCGAGAATACTAGAGAGTAAATCGATTCTATAAAGGAGATAACCTCTAGTTTGAGACTAATCCGAGATTTAGTAACACAACACTTAGAGTTTGTCTACTTAAGATAAGGAGGATTAAGAATCAGTAATCTAGAGTTTAAGAAGTAAATAAATGTAAATAAATAAGAGTTTAATGTTTGTATAATCAGAGATTAACAAGCAATGGTCTGCCTTTAGGCACACCCAAACCGCATAATCCTCTCCCTCTACATTGCTAACAATCTGTTTATGCACAAGTAAAGAAGAGAGAGCTATACTAATTTGAAAACACTACTTGTATTTCTTATTGATTTTCTTATAATGTTGTGTCAAATACAAGAGAGAACATGCCTTTATATAGGCAAGAGCATCAGATCCGAAATTCAAAATACATAGGGATAAGATCAGATTGGAGATAAGATAAGGTTGTCCTTTAGTCCTCCTTTAGTCCTCTTGTCCTTTTGTCCTTTGGTGAAGATAAGCTAAGTGGTAAGATGTCCTTTTTCTTCAATCCTTTTGCTGATTATAAGATTGATGATAAGGRTCTAATCTGATCCACCAACGGCTATATACGGCCATGTACCGATGTACGGTCAAGTACGGATCCGTACAATCCGTATAATCTCTTGATCAATAGGTCTGATCAAAAGGATAACAAGTAACTTAAGGAATGCTTATTGATTATTCATCTTTAAGTACTCTTCTTGTTCAATA